TATAACTTCTCAACATGTGTTCTTAGAATACTTCTTAGTGTAACATTAATATCAGTAATAAGCCCTGTGCTTTATTAGGTTTTTCAAACAGCGAAGGGCAAAAGGTCTGTAGATTAGATTTTATGGCTCTATAATGAAAACTCTGGCCCTGTGCACATCATAGAAAGTGCTTTTTTATGGTGACTGGCTTATAACTAAAGTCACTATTAATCCATTTATTAATCCACAACTGATAGGTAACTGGTGATAGGAACCTCAGCAGTATAATTTGACTTGTAGGTATAAACCACAAGAGCCAAAGGAACGATTTCTTCCCAATTACATTTTAGCTTAGCTACTGTGCATTTTTTTTCACGATATATTACTGAACATATTACTTACTATAATTAGCTTATGCTTATTCAAAGCACAGATTAATCTAATATATATTTGCAATAACCGTATGAACCATATTAGCCAAGGATATTTGAGTAATTTAATATTAGGATAGACATTCTTATACTATGACATGTATCTAAATTTGTTACTTCTCTCATTGTTCTAAAGCATAATGAAATCCTGGTTTTTAAAAGTGTGCAATGCATTAATGAAACTACCTCATTTCAAAAGCAACATAAAAAGTTTTGCTCGATGTTGCTTAGTTTCCTCACTTAGGCCTTTATGCGAGCTATAGACATGATTGTTTGTTTTCTTGTTTAAATATTTTGAACAACTAGTTTATATATGTTAATGATATTTGCTGCTGTTTGGGCTTTGTGATTGCTGATGTCATTACTGTTCTTCTGCTCTGACAGCCCCATCGGGGTTGGTAGGTGTCACGCCTGATGGAAGACACAGCCAGGTGGCTTTCCATGAGCTCAGACTTATTTAGTTTGTGTGACTGCTCTGCCACTTCTGATGGTGTCAAGTTACACAAGCTCTTTTGACTTAGCCCCGTATGTATAAAGGAAGTGAAAATACATACCACCACATTATTTTCACTAAAACACATATATTCATATATACATGCATACATACTGTTCTTACAGAGCCTAGCACCCTTCTTCTAGCATTCATACCTTTCTGCATGCGTTCTGCATCATACATGATTTTTCTGCCTTTAGTATATTAGTCTCCAGACATCAGGATGTTGGTCTCTCTATCTGAATTGCTATCTGTCCATCTGTTCTTGCTACTGTCCTTCTGTTTGTCTAACCATCCATTAGTGTACCTATTGATTCAATTTGCCTTCCCATCTTCTCATTCATCAGTCTGTCTATCAAATGACATACCCATGAACCTCTCTCTTTTATCTACAGGTATATCCATCTATTTTCATTTTAATGACATGCTGACTATATTAGCAGGACAGATCTTTGGTTTCATCTAATAAAACACCTTGAATCATACAGGTCAATATATTTAGATATTGAAAAGTCCTTAATATTTTTTTGAGCATAAATCACTCTAATCACAGATTATGGAAGTTAGGTAAACTGACTAATCTGTTATTACAATCTAGTAAACAGCATACATACTACATAGACAAATATCAAGGATTCTTGACTCTCTTTAAATCGCTTTCATTACATTTTTTCCAAAACATTTTGGGTAACTTGAATTTTAGTTATTTTTTCTCAATATTTTGGGGGTAATTTGTTAGGTTTATCTTAGTTGCAAGTTTCAGAATAATAAAATCCAAGTGGCTTACCAAGCAATTGGGAATGGTATATAATTCCACTTCTTCTCGGTAGAGTTCTTCAGCTCTGTCCTCTTTTGTGTCTTAGTTTTGTATTTCAGATGTGTTTCCTCATGGTGTGATTGTACAATGGCTTAGTAGCAACTGGGACAACCTACATTCTTGTTCACATTCTTTTGTGAACTACCACATTCTACCAGTTACGATATATTCAAGTTTTCTCCTCTTTTCAAATTCAGTCAGTTGAAGTCATATAGCTCGTGCTGGGCCCAAAACATTTACCACAGTATTGCTGTGCATTAGTTAGGCTTAAGCTTGGCTTGAGAGATGGAATTTATAATCTTGATTTTAGATGATCAGAATCTACTCTTGAGTCCCAAACTGATTCACTTTCCTTGAATCACTTGAGGTAAGTGAAGAGCTATGGATACCTAAACAAAATTGGCATTATATATTGAGAGAAATGTATAACATAAGAATATGTTATATAAAACAGATAGATAGTAGGGTCCACTACAGGCAGTTACCAAAATGTCTCTTTTATTATCTGAATTTTTTATTGGTTGTTTCTAGATTTTCTTTTTAACAAAATTATTTTTCCCAGTAAATTTCCCTGGTATCAAAGCTGTTATCCACTCATTTGATTTAACTTTGTTTAGTCCCATAAAACATTTATAAATTGCTCTTGCATTTGTTTGTTTTCATGATTTCCTCTTGAACTACATTTAAACACTCGTAAGCAAGAAGTGTTCCATCCATCTTTGCATTTCAATGTATTTAGTATATCAGAGGTATTCACTCAATATTTATTAAATCAGTGAATGGGTGAAACAGACTGCCATAAAAACAATGCAGCTACACAACAGGCTAGCTTTTATCATAGAGTTGTTTATGGAAATACAGAAAAGAAATTTAATAGTCAACAATGGGAAAATAGTTGGGTAGAGCATGGTATATCGATAGGCTTTGAAAAAAAATTTTATATGTTTGTAATAGCTTGAGGAAAACTTTAAAATAGTATATGAATAATTAGTATACTAAATAATATACACTTAATAAAATATATAATTAATATATTTATGAAAAATATTTTCATCTTTAGATTTCTCAGCATATTCTCAGGTTTCTTATAGTGAGCTTGTGTTTCAGGATGCTTTGAGCAATAAATCAATCAATTGGTTTAATTAAAGAATACAAAAGTTTACACATAACAAACAGTCCTGAGATAGAGCAGTTCTAGGACTGCTTAATTCAGCTGCTCAGTGACATCCGTAAGGATCCAGGCTCTTTGTATCATTCTGTTTTGCCATGTTTAGCATGTCACCTCGGCTCCTCCAATGGTTGCAAAAGGATGCCACAATTCCAGGATCATGGAAGACATGAAAATGTACAGCAGGAGAGGGCCTTTTCTTCCTATATGTCTTGTAAACAATCTTCCACCAAGTTTTCCCTCATTTCTTGTTGCACATACTCGTGTCATATGCCCACTTCTAAAATGATTATTGGAAACAGATGGAAATACCATGCCTGGCTGAGTCCACTGAGTCACTTGGGGGAAGTAGACTTCTGAACAAAATCAATAGGATTAATTCTGTTCTAAAAGGAAGTCACTGTGGGCTGCCCGGGGTCTAACCAACATTGTCTGCAACAGCATGAAAGCAACCTCATTTGCTAAGGTGAATTACTCCTTTCTGTATTTTATTCCTTTGGCAGAGTAAATACAAATAATGGTAGCTTTCAGTTGATTCGTAAAATACTTTTCTCATTGTCTCTGAACATTGCAACAGCTTTGGATCTGTACTGCGCCCTTTTTTTAATTCCAAAAGAATATGCTAGATTTGTCATGTAAGATATATTTATTTCCTTCATCTTGTTACTCACACTAATATAAGTTTTTAATATTTTCTCCACCTCTGAGTGGTGTTTTAATTAAATTCTTTTTAATGGCTATGCACTTCAATCTCTCAAAAGTGGGAAGGCTAGATACAACTATTATTGATTCTATTATATAGGACTCAAAATATATGATTTTTTTAAGAGGATCATCAAACATGAATGAGAGTAGTAAAGATTAAGACTACAGATGATTAACTATAAAATAAAATGCAATATATGCGTTTTTAAAGAATATACATTTGCTTCTACCTACTTAGCTATTCTATCCTCAGCTTGGAACAAAAATTCTAATAAGTTTCTTTTGATTTTCCTACACTTCCAAAAATTACCACAGATAATTTTAATCAACATCCAGGACTATGGACAAGACCTTCTAAATATATTTACCTGTTAACAATGGAGTATTTGAAACCATTACTCAAAGGAAAGAAGAGGGAGGGAGGGAAGGAAAGGAGGAAAGTAGGGAGAGATGAAGGGAGAGAGGGAGGGAGGGAGGGGTTAAGGGAGGACAAATGCGGTAGAGAGGGCTGATAGGCTCATAGTAAGTGCCAGGTTCTATAACAGTAGTTTATTATTGCCTGGTGGGTACTAAAGTAATCTGGTGGATCACTGCATAAATTATATAAATGCCTAACCAATATGCTGTACACCTGAAGCTAATATAAAATAATATTGAATGTCAACTATAACTGAAAAAAATAATTTAAAAAATAATAGTTTATTATTGTGATTATGATTATTTCAGATAGAGTGGCAGAAAGAATAGAAGCAAGTAGAAGAGTTCTCTGTTTCTTTTCAGTCAAGCCAGTTGCTGTCTATTCAATATACTCCTGAGACTGGCCCTATTTGAATCTTCCAGGTGAAATATTTTTGTCTCCCAAGACTCATTCAGCCATATACCTTCATTAACTTTATTAAAGCAAAGAATTTGCTTTATCTTGCGTCGAACTGATTTATTTTACAAATAAATTCCAGCAATCTACATAGCTTAACAACACAAAACTTACCAAAACAGATTAGAAAACAATTATGTATTGAAGAAAAGGACCTTGAATATATTGGACACCTACTACATTTCAGACACTATACTTCACACTTTTAAAATTTATGGTCTTATTTAAATCTTTACAAAAATTATCTAACTAGTAAAGAAGATAATTTTAGCAAATCAAATCACTCAAACAAGATAATGTGTGTAAAGCACTTAGCATAAAATGTACCTAAAAAAAAATGCTTAATAAATTCAGTTACCACTAATATAGGTTTGTCCAGAGTCACATTACCAATGTGAGCTGAAGCCTTATTTTAAATCTAGGGCTGTTAGATTATAAACTGTTTTTGATTCCCATATTCCCATATGCAACTTTTTTTCTGTAATGTGTACCTCATTAGCGATTATGTCTTCTCTTTTTAGCATTCTACTCACCCAGTAGATTCACAGTGATTTCATACTGAAGCCAAAGTAAAATATCTGCATAGCAGCTCTTCAGTATTAATGAAACAAGGCCTGCGAACGCTGCGGGTCTGAACTAAAATGTGCTGAGACCAGCGGTCTGTGGTAGTAACAGGATCCCATGTTCTCTAAGGGGTGTACTCTTTCTTCCTGCACTTTCCTGCATCTGAGACTCCCTGTAAAGTCAAGTGAAAATGAGACACCCAAAAGTAATATTTAACCCACTAAGTTGTTGTTTTTTTCTACTAGTTAGCCAAAAATCTTAGAAAATGGTTGACAGTTTACATAAGCTAGTTTTGGATCATTTTCTGTTCTGTTAAGTAACTTTGATGGATGAACCATTAATTCATTTTACCAAACTTTGAGTACCTACTATGTATGGGGTTGTTGGAAAGGTCATGATGCATTTTTGTAACAAAAAACATAGAAAAAAATACGTCATGACTTTTCCGACAACCCAATATATAATGTGGTATCAAACATTATGGTGGATTCAGTGATTTAAAAAAAAAAGTGTGATTCTATTGAGGAAAATAGCCTCTCCATCATTAAAGAACATTTTCATCTAAATGCTGAAAATTTGATAACCAAAAATGAAAATATCAATGGTTTTATGAGTACAAGCCCTTAAACAAACCTCAAACCATTTTTAAGAAATCTTCAATATTAGTATGTATACCTTTGCTCCCTTGAGCAAAGAATATAACTCAACTTTAAAATATAGAACATACCTTTGACTTCTTTGCAAATATATACTATTGGTTTTTTTCCTTTATTTTCCAAAAATGTTTTAATGTTTGGCTATTTTACTTAAGTTTGTTTACTTTATGATGTTCTCCTTTCTCTGTGGATCATAAGAAAAGCAGTTTCTGTGGAGGCGTGGGAATACAGGAATCTTCAGTTATATTCAACTATCAAAGACGACCTGTAACACTGAGCTGAGAAAATCACCCAGCTTCTGACAGATTCATTCCTCTTCTCCAGGAAAAGTCCGTCATTCTACTAAAATCCACCATCTTTACACTAGAGGAGTTTATAATTCAATTTGGGGGAAATGTACACAGATATACATTCAATTATGTTGTTATGTGTGGATGTACACACAAGTATGTTTGCATATATATATATATATATATATATATATATATATATATATTTACAACTCAGAGTATGCCATATATTCTGAGTATACTCCAAATCAGGGTATGTTAAATATAATAGAAAAATAGTGTATTATGGATATAAGGAAAAAAGATTGTTTACTGGGGAGAATATGAATATTCTAGATTTTTAGTATAATTTTCAGGCCACTAAAGGTGGTTTCAAACTGTCAGAATTCGGCTGTTAATGGTGTTGATAGGGATTGGGTCCAGCAAAGGCTGTGAATGATTTCACTGTGGTTCTCTCTGGGACCCAGGGCCTCCAAGGTGCTTTTTCATTTCACTTGCAAAACCTTTTCTTGCACATGTATTTTATGTCAGTCAGTGTGCTGTGTCATAGGGAGAAAGACAAGAAACTCATTATAAGGATGTGGTGGTGAGGCCTTGGATATGGGTACCCACAGGGCAATGGAACAAGAGGAAAGGCTCTGAAGAGAACAGTTCTCAACTTCCTTTGAGCCATGGACTTCTTTGGCAATCTGGTAAATTGACAAATCTATAGACCCCTTTATAAATTTACATATATATATATATATATATATTTACATATATATAAATTTACATATATATATATTTACATATATATATATATAAATTTACATATATATATATATTTACAGAGAGAGAGAGAGAGAGAGAGAGAGAGAGAGAGAGGCAAAATACAATACCCCATCCCTTATCCACAGTTTTGCTTTCCATAGTTTCAGTTACCCACTGTCCATGGCAGTCCAAAAATATTAAATGGGAAATTCCAGAAATAGGCAATTTGTCAGTTTCACATGGCACGTCATTCTGAGTGGTGTGAAGAAATCTCATGCCTTCCTGCTCTGTTCTTCCCGGGACATGAAGCACCATCCCTTTGCCCAGTGTATTCACTGTAAATGCTCCCCAGTCCTTAGTCACTTAGTCACTTAGTAGCCATCTGGGTTATCAGATCAATTATCAGAGAGAGAGAGAGAGGACATTCACGTAACTTTTAGTACAGTACAATCGGCTCTTGAATAACAAGGGTTAGAACTGTGCAGGTCCACTTACAGGCAGAATTTTTCAGTAAGTGCTATCAATGTATATTCTCTTCCTTATTCTTTTCTTAATAATGTTAGTTTTATTTTTTCAACTTACTTTGTTGTAAGAATACAGTATATCATACACATAACATACAAACTATGTGTTACTTGACTGTTTATATTATTGGTAAGGCTTCCCGTCAGCAGTAGGCTATTAGTAGTTAAGTTTCCGGAGAGTCAAAAGTTACACACAGATTTTCAACTGTGTGGGGAGTTGGCGCCCATAACTCCCACATTTTTCCGTGGTCAACTGTACATTGTTGTAATTGCTCTACTTTATTATCAGTTATTGTTGTTAATTGCTTTCTGTGCCTAATTTATAAGTTAGACTTTATCATAGGTATATGTATGTGTAGTAAAAACATGTATAGGGATTCATTACTATCCATGGTTTAGGCATCCACTGGGGATTTGGAACATATCCCCCCTCAGATAAGGGAGACTACTGTGTATGGGGATTTAAGGGAATCAAGAATAGTAAAATACTGTTGTCAACATATTATAAAACACACATTTGTGCTGCCTTATTAAAACATTAAATAGCAAGATCTAGCAGCAGACATAACCACTATAATTTTGTGATTACATGCCTAAATACTATTTTGAGATTATATGTGACAACTGCAATGTGATATAAAAATATCTGTATTTTGTTGGGAAAGTTACAGGTACTGCTGACACAATAGTGGTTGTTATTAACATTTGTAACTGAAGAAATGTTAAATTTCAATTAGATTTTGATGAAAATAGAGAAGTAACTTTTTGTTAATCCGTGTTAGTAAATTTCTTGAATTCTGTTTATTCAATGATACTTTTGGAGGTCATGGGCCCCAGGATAAGACCCCTGTACTAAAGCTCAGTGTTAGTGCCATTTAGGAGAAAAAGGGCAAATATGAAATGTGCACAGAGACTTCAGATCTCTAGAGTGACTCTGGGTCCTGAACATTCTAAAGGACATTTACTTCTTACTTCTACCCTCTTTATATTTGACAGTGTTGTTTCGTTTTACATAGAGATTTCCTCTGGGCTAAACTAGGAGTATTAGTTACAGTTTGAAATTTTGCCTGTAGCAAGCCTGAGGGTTAGGAATTGTTATCAGATGAACTAAGAAAATGTTTATGCACCTTCCACTGTAAGTTCATCTTCGGTCTCTCATTCTATATTATTAAATTTTTCTACTGCTTTTCTTTTTAAAAAAAATTACTTAAGTAATCCAAGCTTGTTTAAAAAAATTATTCATACATAGTATGAAAATGAAGTATAATATAAAATTAATTAATACTAAAAGGAAAATGCTTCTTTACTGTGCCCCCACCCCATTAAACAGCTACATTCGTTAGCCTTTTATGCGTGTTCTTTCAGAATAGATACATAGTTTCATTTGTCTAAAACACATGAATGTAACAATTGACAATCTAATGGGCTAATTGCATTGTTTATTCTTTTTATCCTAAATTAGTTGTGTCTTCTTTTAAGGTTTAATATTTTTATATTGTTCAATTATAGTAGACATACAATTTTATATTGGTTTCAGATGTACAACATAGTGATTAGACATTTATATGTTACGAAGTGATCACCCTGATAATTCTAGCACCCATCTGACCCCATATATAGTTATTACAATATTATTAACTATATTCCTTATGCTATATTTTACATCCCCATGACTATTTTGTAAGTACCACTTTGTACTTCTTAATCCCTTCACATGTTTCACCCATTCCTCTAACCCCCTCGCATCTGGTAACCATCAAAATATTCTCTGTATCTTTCAGTCTGTTACTGTTTTGTTTGTTTATTTTGTTCTTTGGATTCCACATATAAGTGAAATCATATGGCACTTGTCTTTCTCTGATTTACTACACTCAACACAATACCCTCTATGTCCATCCATAGTGTTGCATTTGGCAAGATTTAATTCTTTATTATGGCTAAGTAATATTCCATTGTATATATGTACACCTCTTCTTTATCCTTTCATCCATTGGTGGACACCAGGTTGCCTCCATAATGCTGCAGTGAACATATGGATGCACACGTCCGTTGAAGTAGCATTTTAGATTTCTTCAGATGAATATCCAGAAATGGGATTACTGGGTCTTTCATTGTCTCTTGTTATAGCTTTTGCTTTAAAGTCTCTTTTGTTTGGTATTAGTAGTGCTACCCCAGGTTTTGTGTTTTGTTTTTTTTCCATTTTCATGAAATATCTTTTTCCCATCCTTTTACTTTCAGTCTATGTATGTCTTTTGATCTGAAGCAAATCTCTTGTAGGCAGCATATATAAGGGTCTTGATTTCTTATCCATTCAGCCACCCTATCTTTTGATTGGAGCATTTAATTCATTTACATTGAAAGTCATTGTTGATAGATACATAGTTATTGCCATTTTATTATTCATATTTTTTACCTTTTGTTTTTCATTTTGAAGAAGTCCCTCTAAGATTTGTTGGTGATGACTCCTTTAGCTTTTGCATGTCTGAGAAACCCTTTTTCTGTCCTTAAATTCTAAATTATAGCTTCGCTGGGTAGAGTAATCTTGATTGTCTGTCCTTGCTTTTCATTACTTTGAATATTTTGTGCCAATCCCTTCTGGCCTGCAAAGTTTCTGTTGAGAAATCAGCTGATAGTTTTATGGTAGTTCCCTCATAGTTAACTAACTGCTGTTCTCTTGGTGCTTTTAAGATTCTTTTTTTTGTCTTCAGCCTTTGTTGTTTTAATTATGATGTGTCTTGGTGTGAGCCTCTTTGGGTTCATCCTGTTTGGGACTCTGTGCTACCTGGGCTTATATGTCTATTACCATCACCATGTTAGGAAAGTTTTCTGTCATAATGTCTTCAAATAGATTTTCAATTCGTTGCTCTCTCTCTTTTCCTTCTGGTACCCCTGTGATGAGAATGTTGTTACACTTGATGTTGTCCCAGAGAC